CACTTATTCATTAAGACCATTAATATGAGCATACAGTATCCACAATTACTCTTATAATGTACTGGTTAGAAGTTGCATGTGGACACATAAAGGGAAATGTTAAACACTTAATCATTTAGTTCTCTTTTTTTGTGAGTAAATACATGTATAATTAAAAAAAAAAAAAAAAAAGGAAAATGTTCTCCTTTTGCTAGCACCGAATGGTCACTTGGTTATACGTGTGAAATGCCTTACAAACAGATCAGTTAAACTCTACACTGGACACGCTGTGATTGTTGTAAACGTGTGTGCACATTTTACGAGAATGGCTACTGGAGTGCACACGCAGAAGCACTTTAAGACTGCTTCTCTCATATCTCGGGGCACAATGGCTGCTCAAAGCTAGGCCAAGCGTTCAATACACACTGAAGCCCAAATATTTTCAGACCCATGGATTTGTTTCGCTGAGCTGCATTAAAGGAGGGCGACATCCGAGGCAAAGAGAACATTACTTCCATGTGACAGCAGGCTGTTTACTCCAGTGCCTCGTATCCCCTTGGCCTCACTACTGGACTGGGTGTCCCCTTGTATTGATCGAAACCAAACTAAGTGGTCTAATCCTTGCATGCCACCACAGAGCAATGGGACAAAACTGTCTGGAGTACTTCCTGCTTGCCTCTGTGTGTGTGTGTGTGTGTGTGTGTGTGTGTGTGTGTGTGTGTGTGCTTGTGTGCATGTTTATGTGTCTGTTAAAAAGGACTGTCACGACTGTACTGAAAGTGCCCTATTTTATAAGAAAAGAAAATTCCAGGAATGTGCCTGAAGATTTACAATACAGGCCTACTCAAAGATCAAAGAATTGATCATGTAATTCCTTTATATTCTGGACTTATCCGAGTATAAAAATAAAGCCTAAATATGAGGAACACTGGCAAAATTGGTTGCGTTGCTATTTATAGCTAACTGTCAGTGAAATCCACTCCTCTGTGGAGTGATTGTTTTCATTTTCTGAACTTTCTTAGATTTTTTGCTTTTGAGTCTTTTTAAAATATTTATTTGAATTGATGCTTTTGTGGACTGATGCAAAACAGGATCCTTTTACTTTCGTCTGTATGTGCTTAAGAAAGATCAGACCTACGTCTATTACAGATCACATAGTACATATCAAGCCCGGGGCCCTGACAGACTATTCTCAAGGTACAAAGACACAAGAATGAGCATTGACTCAGACACATTAGAAATCAAGTGAGAGGGGCTGGACTTTGCCCCTTGGGCAGAGACAATGGATGCTAGACCCACACAAACTCCATTGTTGATATAATATTGACATGGCACTAATAGCTCTGGCTATAAGACTGGGTGGATGAGCAACCAGGCAAGACAAAAATTGCGTGAAGGCCAGGCTTACCCCTCGCTGAAGCCTTTCCACGACCCACTTTAGCTCAACAGCAAACACCATTCTGTTTGTCTCTGTACATTACTCTCAGATGCTTGACCACTGCAGGCAAACTCCCTCAGGAAGTCTAGACTGGAGTTTAAGTCCCACAAACACAAACACACACCCACACACACCAGGCCAGCTTCTGAATGAAAACTAGAGCACTTTTTCAAACCCCAGTGGACGTTACAGAGCAGGCAAAATGCAATATGGCAATATCACCTCACACACTAAGCTTACTGGTAGTGTTTTGGCTGATCATCAGAATCGCTTCGCACTTGCAGAATAGCACTGATGACTTCACCACACGTAGGCACACACAGACAGACACACACACACACACACACACACACACACACACTGTCTGTGTCTCCTGTCTGGGTCACCAACAAAAATGCGTTTTACATGCCATATTATTCCTACTGGCATCAAAAACAGCGTGTAGTGATGAGAGCAAATGCATGCTTAACACCATTCACAACCGTCTTAATTCATTTCACATGCATGATGATCTGAGAGAAATTTGATTCATCTTGGCCAGCATGGCTTGTATATATATTTTTTTCCTCTCTCCAGTGGAGATAATTGGTTCTATAAATACAACTTGGAGACACCGTGTCTACAGTCCATTCAAAAAAAAAAAAATCACAGTTGCATCAGTGGGATGAAGTGTTTTAGAGATGATGAAGAGAAGATGTGAAGATTGTTTTATTCTTTTATATATATATATATATATCTTTGCCATCATCTCACCAATCATTCTGAAGTGAAAGGGGCAGCGCTGGTCTGAAAAGTTGAAATACTTTTATCATTCCAGACTCAAAGCACTGCTCTGAAACCCAGTACAGAGTTTATGTGAACACATGCCACGCCCATTGTAGACTGCTGAGGATGTTAGTCTGCATCCCCCACAGAACAAACCAGTGTGTGTTTGCATTGCAGCGATTTAGAGGACATCTTTACGTCATTGCTTCACATGATGTAAAAAGGAGGAAAGAAATGTGAATGTGAAATGTCAGATAACATATTCACTTTCTGTCATTACTTATTAGTTTTAAATTATTTTAAAATATACGTATTCTTCATTCATTATCTCGATTCTAACATCTTACGAGATATACTATTCAAAGGAGAGGCCCCAGAGCTGCTATCTGCCTTTGATTTGATGGTTTTAATTCACAGATAAGCGTTTCTTCATGTAATAATTGAAAGTGTGCTAACAAGTTAAATTAATTTAATTGCAAGTCACTGTCACCTAGTTTTTTTTTTCTTTTTTGTCTTTAGTTGAGACTCAGCGCACGAGAGTTGAATCTTGCCATTATAAACCAATTAAAACTGGCAGATAAAAAGTCAGCATTTTGACTTGAATGATGAGAAGTCATTGTTTTATCAGACATAATATTAGTTCCCTTGTGATTTGTGACTGACAGCTGTACAATTCATCCCAGCTGTAAATGTTTTGGGGCCAGGAGCTGTGAAATTGAGTTTTTCTCCTTGTCTGAAGACAGGATGCCAAGACTATCCACTAGAGAAATATCTGAAAATGCAGCAAGCTTCCCATGAAAGTTTCTTTCCTGGAGACCCATTGCTCTGTTGTAAATTGCCTGCATTTCAGCTTATGCAAATATATCTGGTAAAAAGTGATATTTTCCTCAGAGATGCTCCTCTCGTTCCCTCTATCCCCATGACAATCCATCAACACAGATAAAACCCAACCATCTCCAGCTTCATTTTTCCTACTCATAGATTTCCTTTGGCAGAGTGAGGCGGCATCACTTTTCTGAGGACTAGTTCAGTTCATGTGTATAGTGAACAAGATTTCTTGGAAAGTATGTTTTTTTTTTGTTTTTTTTTTTGTGGTTACATATTGCATCCCTTGGGCCAGCACATTGATCCGTCCTATTGTGTTCCTTATTGTTGTGTCAGGTCAGCAGGAACAATGAAACCAGCTACAGTAACCGCACTCAGCAGGTAGAGCACTTTTTCTCAGATATAATATATGCACACATGTGCTGTGAGCTGCCTGCTCTGCTTCCACTGCTGAAATGAGCTCTGTGGGCCTGCATGCTTAGGATTAATATGCATGACGGGAAGGGGGGAAAATAAAAGCAGTTCCAAACTGCATTTTTTTCCCCCTCACGTTAACGCAAAAGGAAGGTTCACGACGAGTTCGCCATCAAAAATATCCCTCAGCACCTCCAGCACGAGCCCCTGCTCCTCAGATGATCCAAACACGGTTTGAGGAATGGAAGGGAGAGTAAAAGGAGCAGAGGAGGGCTGGGATCACGATGAGCTACACTCAAGCTCACATCTCATGGACAGAAGAATCCTTTTAGTGTTATCATAGGCTGCAGATATGCTCAGGCTACGAGGCTGCACGGGAAACTATTAACACTTTCTCTTGATAACAAAAGACAGGGTCTTATCAGGATGGTAGAAGTGACACAGAATGCATTAACATTTATGGTGCTCTCTCCTCTGCTTTTGTGTCATCTCCAGAGTGCCCACTCTGTTCCCTTCTCCTTAATGCAGTTCAGCACTTTGCCCATTCACCCCTTACTGTGTGAACTGCTGCAGAAGAAAATAATGACCATACAAAATCCCCTCTGCATGTTTGGCATAAGAAAATAGCCCATTTTCTAAAAGTGGAGCAGACATTACCCTAGTTCTCTCAAAATCTAAACACGAGTCAGTAAATAGTCCCTAAAAACAAGACGCCCATTTAACTGTCTTTAAGAGAGATTAATAACACACAACTTTTAAACTGCATCATCACCGAAGCAAGTTTGGATTTTCATTGTGTGTATGTGTGTGTGGGTGTGTGCGTGTGCGTGTGTGTGTGTGTGTGTGTGTCACTGTTGAGTCAACAGCATACATCCTGGTAGAATTTAAGAGCATCTTTTGGTAAACGTCTTTTTTTTCTTTTCTTTTTTTTTTTGTTTGACTTGTTGTTGATGTTTTATTTAGCTGAACACAATGTTTGTTGCTCCCTCTAGTGGCGCAGCTCTCAAACTTTAATGAGCCTTCACTGAACCGTCAGCCAGATGTCACAAATGTGGAAAGCTTCCGCTGTTCAGAATATCAACAGCTCTCAACTCCCTCAGTGAAGGCAACACAGACTTGTATTCAAAGCAGAGCTACTGAGTGTCAAGATCCATTCATGGACCAAGCTGCCAACATATCAGTCAGCGGTAACAGCAGACAGCAGCAGAGTTTGGGCCTTTACTTAGTTTGATGTGAGAGTTTACAAAGCAACCTGTGTCATAATAATAAGAACACAAATGTAGCACACTGACAGGAAAAGGAGCTGGAATATGAATTCTATGTGAAAGCATAGGATAAAAAGGTTCCTGCTGCTGCTGATAACACCCACCTTTAAACATTGGACACCTGGAAAGAATTATGCATGTAATGCTGCTGCCAAGGTGTGTGTAAGGTTTGTCAAACGAGACCCATCATTTACTGTGTGCGAGTGTCTGCACAAAATCACCAAAGATTCATGTTTACCGTCTATTTTTCTCGTAAAAAAAAAAAAAAAAAAAAACTATTCAGACGCGGAGGATTAAGAGGTTAGAGTCCTTACCGTCATTACACAGTGGTCCTCCAAATGTCGTCATGCTGCAGTCACAGCTGAAGCCCTCCCACTGCTGAAGGCACACACCCTGGTTGGCACACGAGTCCTCTTGGCATGTAGTGCTGGGGCCTGCATGTGGAGACAAACAGTGGGTCGGTGAGGAGGCTGACTACAACAACGGGCAGATAAGTCTGCAGTGTCACTCTGCAGTGAAATTAAATGTCACGTAGAACATACAGACAATAGGCTTCTGCTAATGGAAGCATACACAGGACGAACATACATATTCTATGCAAACACACCAACTGTGTAGTCATGTTTTATATTCTTTCTGTAAACAATGCTAGAAATTACAAATCTCCATGTGGCTTTACTCCCTAGGAACATAGAACATACATTTAAAAAAAACCCTAAAAAAAAAATATTTCAATAAATTTACATTAGTGATTTAAATATTTTAGTTAGTGTTTTATATTTAAGAATAACAGAATACAGAATATTACATGGAACAATAAGTATTAGGTTACAGCCTCCGTTTAGATGTGGCTTTTATACAGTACAGCAGTGTATTTCTAAACTGTGTCTCGATCTGATGTATCTCGATCACTGTTACACCACCAAGGTAAAATGTGTCTACTAAAGTACACAATACACTCCGTAATCCAGTTCTCCTCCAGACTGTCACACACCTCCGACCACCTGCGGAGATGGTTTGCGCGATCAGATTACAATCAGCCTTCAGTGATCACCCACAGTGCACGTTATTACCAGCCGTGACTGGGCTCACGGGACAACGATCCTCAGTCACTTCTTAAGCTGTAGAGTCCTGAGATATCCGTGTGCTTTTAAATAGCAACGTAACAGTGCGTCCGGTTTACAGTCAGTGTTTAATCTTCATGTTTGTATCAGTCAGTCAGTGGTTGCTGTCAGTCCGAGCGAAGATGCGGTGAATGCACACCTGTACAGACTGTATTGTCTGTGTTGACTGAGTAAGTTGATGTTAGTGGAATGACAAGGATTAGTGTGGATGACTGTTGTTGTTATAATAATATGTATTTTTTACCTGTAAGTTTATGAGATATTTTAAGTCTGTATTCATATTGCTTTTGGACTATTTACAATACAATTCTGTCCACTTTTTTCAGTCATTATTGATTATTGTCAATATCAGGACAAAAGTACCGATAGGGAGAACATCTACTTCTTTTTTTTGATAGTTTAGCCATTATCATAGCAATGGTGGAGAGTGTGTTTGTTTTATTATTTATTTTTTTATTTCAAAAGGAGTTGTTGAATATACACATACATTAAAACTGCATCCTTATATATGTCTTTTTTCTTTTCTTTTTCCTGAAAGTGCAGCAACAGTGGGGGCTGCTCAGTCTCAGAGTAGCTATGGTAACTGCTTAATAGTTTAAGCATTTGCTGTAGCCCACTCTCAAGGCTGAAAAATGCAAAAAGCAAAACACTGTACACAGTGTACATTTTCCAAGCAAGAAAAAAAAAAAAAAGAAGACGAAAAAATACAATCAAATTCATGATGACAAATGGTTCTGGAATACATTTGAATATATATCAATTGAAATTGCATGTAACTACATGGTATACTAACGATTACTACTGGTCATGATTATTCATACTACTCATTGCCAAATTGTTCACATTGCAATGGGGCAAATGTGTCATAAATAGATTGGATCCTATTTTAACTTGACTTGGCTTGTGAATCAAGTAAACAATGAGACAGCAGATGTGTGACAGCATACTTATAAATATAAATATTTCTGGTTAATATTAGACGTAGACAGAATCATACATTTATTTTAAGGCTTTCCCATTTTTCTCACGTTTTCTGACATATATATGTGTGTAAGGCATGAAGCGGAGGATAATTGATTTAATTAATTTGAAATTTATGTTAATTACGTATTCCGTCACTATGATGTAGTCATGTGGCTGTTTATCTGCATCTGAATTGGCTTTAATTACAGCCAGAGACTGTAACAGGAATATGGCGTTGATAAACACGGGACTTAGAACAACAATGATTCATTTCATGTAAAACAGAAAAATGACTTAAGTTTGAATGAAAACCTTCGTTTTTGAGAGGAAATTCATGCAGGAGAAACGTTTTAACAACTGTCATAAGTCATGCAGAAGTACATGTACGAAAAATGAAAAACAAAAAAAAACCATAAGCACAGAAAAGAATGTCCAAGATAAACAACATACAGTATGTTGGTGCAAATCAAAATGTGAGCCCCATAGACTTTGATACAAGATGGTAATGGTACTTGTATTCCTATGGGACTGAAGCCCACTCCATATGGCTCGTGGGTGAGTGGCAAACTAGGCAGTTATCTTGCTCAGGGAGATGTGGAAAGTGTGAAGGTAGAGGCTGTGGAGAGGTGGAAGGAGGGAGGGGGGGGGGCAGAGGCATTACAGATGCAAAGAGGGAAGGGATATCAGACTCCGTATCAAAACAGACAAAGCTATCTACCTTGCAAGTCAGCTTTCATCAATGCAACTTTTGTCGGCAAAATAATAGGAAAGGAAAAGGCAAAGTATACCAGCCGTTAGTAAAGCACCAAGACGTCAGAGATGGAGTAACAGAGACACAGGCTGTTGAAGCAGGAGAGACAGAGTGAGGAGTGAAGTGTTTGTTTGTCCTCAGACAGAGCCAGAGGGGAAGAATCGCACTGTATCATGGATGGCCAGGTTAAGTCAAACTGTAACAGCAACTACTCTCTAAAATGGCATCAGCAATATGAAGTAAAAGCATGCAATTGTTACGTCATTAATATGTGAAGTGGCTACGACTGCCCATGATGTTCAGTAAAATTGAAAGCCATAGAAAAAAAGCTGCATATTTTCTCTCATGTATATTCTGAAATGATCTCTGCTTTATTCAAACACTATCAGCAACTATATTCTACCTCCTGACTCCATCAGCACAATCCAATAAATGTGTTATCGCAGGAGCCATTTTCCATTGAGAGCGACCATTGATTCCGAGCGGTACACAGCGAAAAACAACAAGTTCGACAGACCCGCACAGGGTGCTGAATTTGATTAGATTTGTAATGACGGAACATGAAAAGATCAGAAGTTGCATACTCAATAGAAAAAGAGTGGATGAATTGTGAAATTAAACTAAGTGAGTGACGATGAAAAATAAATCAAATATTGTCTCTGGATGTGGTGCACACATTAGACTGGGCAAATGATATTCATGCATGCAACAAAGGCTTCATACATAATTCAAAAGGATTGCTTCTGGCAAACTCTCAGATCCAGCAAGCATGCATAGAGCAAAACAGAATGGGGATAAAATGGGAAATAACACTGGCAGTACAAATATGGCAGAGAGAATAATCAGATTATGGCCAAGTGAAACAGAAATGATTGCCTGTGGAGGAGTGTCGGTGCTTGATGCATTCTAACAGAATACTAACACACTTTATGGATGTTAAATTATGAGCCACAGGTTGGCAGTGTGGGTGTGCTTCACTGTGTATATATGTCCTTGTCAGACAACTATGAGTATGGGAGGATTGAGCTGCAACTCCGCTGTGTTGTAATGACACCCTAGGTTAGTTTTGTGATACTGACGGGGAAAACCAGAGTAATTAAGATGATTTAAGGGAAACTTGTCTGATTTTATCAATACAATCAAAATCAACCCCCCCCCCCTTCCCCTCTCAGTTGAAGTTTCCTCAGTGGTCCGGGAGACTACTCACCTTCGCATCCTCTCTCTATCTGTCCAACACAATCCAGAGCATCTGACATCAAGTCTGGGAGCCGCCCGTTCAGATCCACTGATGCCAGACAACCTTGGAAACCCTCCTTGGCATGCACCAGCTTGGGCAGATCCTTGTACATCTCCTTAGCCACCCCACCAATGTAAAGGTTACCTGTAAAGACATGAGAAATATGACAATACTGACCCCTAGTGGAAAGAAAACATGGTGCAGGGCTTACCATATCATGCTTTTTAAGGTGAGGTCAAAAGCACACCATTTTAGACAGCAATGTAATTGGGCTTGCACTGTCATTTTCCAGGCTGGTATTGTTTTCACCTTGCAAGTCTGTGTGTGCATGTGTCATCATGGTGAACTAGCACAGAGATCAGGTTTTGGCAGGTGTTTATATGCCTGTGTGTCTGCGGACAGGTTTTGTCACTGCAATAGTGTCACTACTGTGCAAGATACAGTGACAAAACTTTATATGTGCACAGTTGAGATCAAAATGTAGATCGAGTGCGAAGATGGGTTTGGTCCAGCACATGCTATAATGAGTAATAACTACTGAGTACTCATTGGTTTGGAACATCTTCATGGTGATGGGCATCACAGCTGGTGTGATCCCCTCTAGTTAATTAATGATGACAGTTGTTTGATGACATTTCTACACACATGAAGGAGTGCAGGAGGTTAATTAATGTCAATCTTGCTTAAAAAACACTTTTCCAATTGGGTCCAATGACATTTTTTCTGAGCTATGACACAATATCAATATTGTCTTTCATGTCATGTTCAAGCCACAAATTTGTCGCCCGCTTTGTACTGATTCATTGAAGTTTTTTTAATGACAATGATTACAACATTCTTCAAGGTAGAGCGCTAATTATGCCAATATCCTTTTATCCAAGGTTGGTCTGCTAATTACAAATGCTCTTTTCTATGAACTCCCCGCTCCACACACACACCATTAGTGTTGGCTGCTGGACAGCAGAGTTCTTAAGTTCTTGTTGAAGGGTACCTTAGAGGTGGTAATAAGTGAGGACCAAGATTTTTCCCTCCAACCCCCCGGGGTTTACCTGCTGCTGCAACCGCGAATCTGCTTTTTCTCACCTCTGGGCCACTGCTGCCCCAATTTCATGAAATCTAAAAAAGATATCTAAATTCACTTTGCCTACGCACCCTTCAGGTCCAGGTTTTTGGCTCCTGTGGTCGTCTGCGTGGTGACCTTGGTATCAATCTTGACAGTGTGGAGGTTGTTGGTGTCTCTGGAGATTATGACATTGTGCCAGTGGTTGTCGTTCAGGGGCTTGTTGGAGTTGCCTTTGATCAGATGGGCTCCGTTGCCCAGGTCAGAAACATAGTGCAGGTAACTGCAACCAGACATCGAGCAACGTGAGCGACAATGTGCAGAAATGAAGGGACATGAAAACACTGTGTTATGAAAAAGACTTAAACCATAGCATTGTCTGTTCGCTGTTGCTGTAACCCAAATACACGCAGATATTTTTTAGATATATACTGTATAATTAGTCACATCCAAATTATTTATAGCTCCCTTAACAAACCTGTGACTAGTGATAGTGTTTAACCGACAACATACATCAGACAGTAACAAGAGCAAAATAAAAAATAAATAAATAAATAAAAATAAAAAAGTAGAAAAGTCTAATGAACCTTTGAAAACTGGAGCAAGAGTGTCCATGAGTGCGTTGCTGGTGTTGCTGAGTGTCTGTGCGTTCAAATGTTTACATGAGAGAGTATCAGCAAGTGCAGCTGTCTGAAAAAGAGCTAAATAAAAGGTTTTGGGCTGTGCTCAACAAATTGGTCTTAAATTCTTTGGTTTACAGGCGGTTTATGATTTGCATGCTCATTTTAATTAAAATGTATGCCTTTAATGTTTAGCATGTTGAATAATAATTAACTTCAGGCATTACTTAAAAGAAGGTCATTCTATAGCTGCATTTCAGTAATAAGAAATGCAGCCTTGTGTAGTTGATTCCCTTTTATGTCGGGTATTTGTTGTGCCTTCATGAAGATTTAAAAAGAGCAGTAATAGCCAACAGCTCTTTCAGAGAATATTCTGGCATAGAGGTGATAAGAAAAGAATTTGAATTCCCATAATAATGGCATGAAAAGCTGTCAAGAATTATATTCTGTTTGGAAACTGCCATAAAATATGAAGAGTTGCATTATTAAAACCATAATCCATTTATATGGATATTCTTACATAAATAAACATCTCGCTACACCAGTATAAAAATAATTCAACACAGATGAAAGCTTTTTTTTGCTTTTCACATTTGCTGGTCTTTACACCTGGTGGCAGGCAGGTCTGCCCTGCAAATAAAGTCCTGTGTGCGCGCGTGCGTGCGTGCGTGCATGTGTGCATGTGTGCATTTGTGTGTGTGTGTGTGTGTGTGTGTGAAGAGAAGAGCTCAAGAGTTACTGTAGCCTGAGCAGTGACAGCCACAGCAGCTAAATAAAAACATGAAGCCGCCTACACCAAATCAAACTTCTACTGGCAGCATTGTTGTTTGACAAATCATCTCCGAGCAGAGCAGAAGAAACAGACTGCACTGACTGCTGCACCAAATATGGAGTCAAATCTACCAGAAAAAGAACAAAATATCTTAAAATATCTACAAAAAGCTCAGTGTCAGCGCTGGAAGATTTAACAGATGTGAGTGGGATCTGCTGTAGATAAGTGGGAGAACACTCAGTCAAAGTTTCTGCACTCAGACTTCAACAGGGAAGTATTCACTTACCCTTTGACCAGCTCCACCACGATGAAGTCGTTCCCATCCCCGCTGTTGTAAAGGATGAGCCCGTCGGAGGAGGTGGTTTTGAACTGGAAGAAAAGGTGCATGGAGTAGTAGGCCTGCAAGGTGGTGAGGGTCACGTAGCTGGAGCGCGACTTGAAGGTGACGGGGTCGGCGATGATGTTCTTGAAGCCAATCATGGCATTGAGCTCACAGTAGTCAATGTCACCGTTTTTACAGAGGTCTATGTAGGCCATGCCATTGAAGGCGAGGCTCTGGAGGTGGCCGATGAAGTTGGACGGCACCATGGACAAGAAGCGCTTCTCTGTCACAATGCCCGTCTCAATGTTATGGAACTCCAGCTGGGTGTGGTCGCCCGCCATTTGACCTTTGACCGGCAGAGGAGGGAGGAGGGAGAGAGGACGTTATGGGGGGTATACGACAATTAAAGAGGCAACTGATGGGTCGCCTAGAAATCTTCTAAATCAGTGGTTCTCAAAGTGGGGTCTGGGGACCCCCAGTGGTCCTTGAGGGAGTTCGTGGGGGTCCCCAGCTAAAAGGGAAATCATTTATTTTCACTATAATTCCACCCATAAGTAACACAGTGACAGAATATATGACTATTTTGGTCATGGGTTTCTAAACACTTTCTGTAACAAAACATTTTAAAGTAAAAATCTTATCAGACGGGGGTCCATGGTCTAATCTGTGTCAGTTTAGTGGTCCTTCATATGAAAACGTTGTGACGCCACGTTGTGGGACATTAAAGAAATCTAACATGAATTCCAGAAAAAAGAAATTTACATTCTCCACTGCTGTGTGTCAGAATAGTTTGGTTGTAAAATGAATAGTATCATTAATTCAAGTCGGTGCAATTCACCCATAAGGACAGAATTCAGCACATCGCACCTTATTATCTATAGAAATGTGCCTTACATCATTTTATTAGGACAGGTTTTTAACATGTCCCTATGAATCATGAGGAGCAACATTTGGCCTTGAACTGAAAAGAGACCTTCAATAGTACACTCTTTCAGAAAAACAAATGAATGAATGAATGCTCTCTCCACAGCGGAGTACAGCACGGAATAATACACTTGAAGTTGTTTTTTTATTCTGTATAAGAGCGTGTGTCTTACCTAATATCTGAGAGCCCAACACATGTTACAGGTAATTTAAGTGTATAGGAGGAAAGTACTATTCTGTCAGAGGAAGAGAGGAAGAGGAGTACCTTCTACAGGCGGCAGATCATCTACGGTCAGTTTCAAACTCTTGCCCCTCCTGAACACACGCACTGTGTGCCACTCATTATCGTTCAGATTCTGACCCGCAAAAATAGTCTCTGGACCTTTACCTGCAGGACAGTCCAAACAACGGTTAACACACATGCATGCATACAAAACAGACACACACACATAATAGAGAGGCTGAGAGATAGGAGATATAAACAGTATCAGAGAGGGAGGGGGAGGAGGGGCGATCGGAAGGAGGACAGAGTGAATGAGTTAAGTAGTTTGACAGAGACAGAAAACATTAAGGTAAACATAGTTAATGGGCCATAAAAAAAACACATCATTCTGACTTGCATTTGCTGTCCTGCACCATTAGATAGGGCATCACATTCCTGAGTTCTCACTGAACACCATTCTCGACAAACAAAGAGGAGGGAGGCAGTAATCAGGATGTCACTTAATTATCACCGATGGTACTCACACTAACTGTTTTGTGAGGTTTTGATTTAACTAAAGAGAAAAGGGATAATTAGATGTTTTATTACAGCTGGTCTCTCATCTTGTGTTTTTTTTTTTTTTTTTACCCCATTCCTCTCATGCCACTTGGTGGCAGCAAATGACTATACCAAAAGGCTACAACAGAGCAAAGCACTTATCTGAGCATCACTCTCCATCTTGTTTACTTACAGACCCAGCATTTGATTTCGCTCATGTCCAACACATGAAATGAAACAGTGATACGGGAGGAAATACTTGAATAATGGAAGCAGTGTTCTTGGTGGTGAAAAGAACCCCTTTTAAAGCAAATACAGACAGTCTATTGTTCTTGGAAAATACAGGAAATACAGAATGTGATTTTCATCAGCAGCCTTGAAAATGATTGAGTGTTTAGGAAAAAGCCAGCAGGTAACAGGTAGCTACGGTAACACTGTGCACAAACTCTATTATTAAATCTGCTGCACTTCATTAAATCCATAAATACCTTCAAATAACCATTCAACTGAAAAACATTTCACTAATAAAAAATACTGAACCATCCCCTTCGCACATCCTGAAACCAGCGTGTTAATATTCCATGACGTGTGTCACTGCTGGCAAGTAGTAAAGCAGATGTCACACAGAATCTAAATCAAATGCGATTCCACATAATCGAATTTGGAATCACAGATAAGATAAATCATTGCAACTGCAACAAATCTCTGTGATCTCATGAGCGGAAAGAAAAAAAAAAAAAAAAAAAAAAAAAAATCTCTCCCAGATACACTTCTGCTTTTAGAAATTCCAACATTGGTCCAATTGGGGCAACGCATTATTTTTTCATGCAGCCTCCGTCTTAGAGCATCTTTGAATTGCTATATGGCTGTGATGTTCCCCTCCTGGGCTCACAGAACCAAACAGACCAATTAAGACACCACTGTGACAATATTAAAATCCCCGGGCTCCGGATACCTTGCCCACTGTGGGGAGCATTTCAGATGGGTGCCAGGTTCGTTCCCCTGAACCCATTTATGGCTATTTATTTCCTGCTTTTCTGCAATCTTCAAAGCACCCAATGCAATGTGTATGCAAATCTGAGGGTGCCAAAGTACTGGGACACACTCAATCTCAGAGGCACAGTTCTGCTTTGTAAGCACTAAACACCGGGGCAGGATTGAAACCAGACGACTGGCGAGGGATTAAGGATGAGAGATATGAAATAATAGGATGGAGTTGGACTTGAAAGCATGCTTGATCTTTGCCTTCCATCATCCTGTCCTTGTTGCTCTCCAAGGAGGAAAGAAAAGGAAGGGGGAAAAGAGGTCAATCGTATTAAGCAGCACATTCTTGCACAACATCCACTACTGTAGGGCCTGGTTTTACGCCTGTTGTGCAGTCTGCGGTCCAAACTGCCAGCTGCTGGCCAGACATTAAGGGCCTTTAGTCCGCTGTCTGCGCGTGCAGCCCTCTCTAGTGCCCTCGCTGATGGTGATCTATCTGCAGTGATGGATCTACAGTGATCCCTCCCTGCCTCATTGACTTCAGGCCCAAGGGAACAGTGGAGAAGTGTGGCACAGGGCAGCATGAGAAGATGTGATTATCCAGTCAATCAGCTCTGGCTGGCTGGATGACAGGCCAGATACTGGTGGTGCCTGACCCGACCGCTGTGACTCACCCAGGTGGAGGGGGGGAAAAAAAAAAAAAAAGAGAGACTCACTGACCAAGCAGCAGGCCACCACTGCTGGATTACCATCAACACAGACATCAAAGCCAGCACACATAGAGAGGCAAACTTAGCAGGCTGCCATGCCAGGCGACCTGCTTGTCCAATCAATGCCCTGCTAACTGAAAACACACGGAGAAAATGTTTAAGCAAGCAGAGGTTAAATGGTGTCAAAACAATATATGATGACAATCGCTGCTAATCTGCTGCTCCGTGTCATTTGCATTTAGGTTTATTTGTTCTATAAACAGAGACTGCTCCATACTGAACGTGTTGAAAGGTTGTTGCTCGATCTAACTGCCATCAAATCCCTGAGATCAGGGGTTTTTTTAGGTTTTTTTTTTTCACAATGACTGCATAATCGTGTCATGTTAACGGCGGCTGCCGGCTTGACAGGAAAAGTCCCTCAGCGTGCTCTAACTTTGGGTGATGTTCAATGTTTATTCTCAGCTTTCAATGTAAGTTGCTAATGTTGGTTACAAGGACTGCTGAGCCAACATGTTAGCCCCTTTATGAAACTAATTCGCAGCGACCACAAAGAGCATCATCATAATTACTCCTAAATCTAAAGCACTCCACTGTTGTTTCCCTTCACGGGATACTCAGTTTACACTGGCGTCACAGGCAGACACACACACACACACACACACACACTAACACTAACACTAACACACACACACACACACACACACACACATCAATGACACACACACACACACACACACACACACACACACACACACAGTCAGCTTTTGATCTCACTGCTATAGCTTATTGGTGGTGGCTTATTTTTGCTGAAGGGAGGGGCAGTCTAAATTGTTTGGGAGAGCAGATCTTCCCTTATAAGATTTGCTATATGAAAAATAGATCACTATTATTTTGAGATTGTAGGGGGAGGGCTGTTGCAGGGTCCAAAGAAAAACATCAATAACTCTGGGGAGTGGCCTGATTTTCTAAAAAGAAAAACATAGAGTTGAGCCCTCTTCCACACTCACTCAATCATTTTTGTACAGTCCCTTACTACATCATAATTTATGCCGTGGTGAATAGGGATATATTTTTATCTTCAGGTTGACTCATCTACACTGTAATTTCTCCCTAAATGACAGATAGATTCAATCAGTCTGCTCGACACAGAGATTAGCTTTCCTAGCATAAAGGTGGGCACCATTAAATTCTAATATCAGTATTTTAATAGTTTGATTTCGGATTTGAGGATTTTAGCTGCAGTCAGTGAGCGTGTACTATCAATGTTAGTGATGATGAAAATAGCGGTCTTCAGAATGTACACGTCTTCATATTTCCATCTAACCACAAAACCACCGAGTTGTGCAATGATGTAGCAAAAATCAATCCGAATTCATACACATCTTTTTGCCAACATACACTGTGCATCACAAGCACTCAATAATAGTGGCAAACACAGCTGATAAGCACAGAGTGTGTACCTCACCCCCCTATGCATCTGCCCTTTAAATCATCCCCTCATCTATCATTCCAACATGCACACAGGTGTAATTTCCATGTAACAGAATCTCCTCCTGCTCTTTCACACTAAATAAGCCAAAAAAAAAGAAAGACTGATGCGTGGAAATGATCAATTATGAGAGAAAAAAAACTGCCTTGAGTTACTGCTCAAGAAGGTCAGGGAGAGAATAATCACTGCATCCTGGCTCCACTGTAAATTGTGATTATCCTGCAGTTCAAATTAATGAATAATAGAAGACCGGAATGGCAGAGAAAAAAAAAAAAAAAAGCCAATCTGTCACAAGATATTTTTAGATCATATTTTTAGTTTGTTGTCACTCAGTGCCTGTTAACAGTGTTTAAGTCGGAGTGGCAGTGTTTTCTTCAGACAGCTCTGGGCAGCCCCAGGGAGCCAAGGTCCCTAATAGACAGTGATGTGTTCTTTGAGTCGCTGCTCTGAAATTCTTCATCCACCGAGCTGACCGGAGCTGCAGCGCCTGACAAGACACATTAATTAACACAGAAAAAAAGAGGACAAAAATAACATGGAGAAAAATAACAACCTAGAAAAAAAAAAAAAAAAAAAAAAAAAAAAATGAATTAAACGCTTCATAAGTGGAAATGCACGCACTGGCTTAGCACAGTTCTATCCAAGAACTTCAATTAAACATTTTCTTATGACACAATTAGGTCTGAATCTATTAAAAAAAAAAAGACCTGCTTCTTTTTTCTCTGAATTTTACTTAAACATTCATTTTCCCTGTAGCATGATATTAAATGTTGATGGAATCAAAATAATTTCTCTTTGAATTACAGAGCAGCTTAGTTCTGTGTGGGAACTTCTAGTGTATATTTCTTCCATCTATAAAACATTAGTTAATTCTGTAAATGTGATTAGTATTTTATTACTTTTAAGACTATTATTTTTATGCAAATAACAGAGGTACACTAAGAAAATGTACACAAACAGAATTCACACCAATATAAATATATGTACATGTCAGCATGACATCAGTTTAACAAACTAGTGCTAGTCTGGTAATTTCATTTTTGCATTATTCCTACAGCACTGTGTGAAATCATCCAGCCTTTTAAGACACACTGCACACACTACACTGCACTGTTTTCTAAGAAAGTGACTAAAGCAGCTATTGAACCTACAGTGGTGTTCATATTAAAGATTGTGTATTTTCTTTCCTTCAACCAGAACTTCAATGCAACACTGCATTCTGGCACCGACTGAAGCTAAATATCAGAAGAGAAAAATGAATAACGATAGAAATAAAGTAATCCAAAGAGCAAATAACAACCCCCTGGTGTCCATGCATGCACAGATTATGCCTCCACACTATCCTCATAAACCAAGAATGACCTTTTAAAGCACTGAAAGGCGGGAATTAGAGCTTAGAGCTTTTAATTTGCATACACAAACAAGGGATGCAATCCAAGATGCATGAACAATGCTATTTAGCATTTAGAAAGGTGTTAAGAAGGGCTGGCTAGAGGTCACGTCATGTGATTCCGCGCGGAGGCGTTTTGTTGTGTAAGTCTCCGCTTCTCATCAGGCGTTGACCTTCAAATACTGTAACGCTTCTCACACAAAGAGATCCAACACTGGTGTTTTCAGAGAACAGTTTGTTCTTATATACAATGTGACACTGGCACTCCATTATAGAGCCTAAACTGACTAATATCTGTTGGTATTTACTGATACTGAGAATGTGTCTGTCACTTCAGAATCGTTAAACAGGAAGAAAGCTCGCGTATTATGACTCCGGTGAAGTAATTATTAATTCATCACTGTTCCTGAATAATAAATGTCAGGGATATTTACCTCCCAAAATATTGCAATGTAACCTCTCTGTTGAAACAGACACACATACACACACACACACACACACACACACACACTGTGAGTCCCACAACAAGATCTATTCTCTCTCCCTCCCTCTTCATCCCTTTCTTTCTGCTCTGTGAGGCAGGTTAATGAGAATAATAAAATCACACTCTGTATTTCCTCTGTACCTTGAATGGCGTCATCAATTTACAACCAGCGTGAAATATTGGAGTAGAAAGGAAACCAGAAAAAAAAAAAAAAAAAAAAGCGAGGGGGGAGACAAGGAAATCATGCATGTCTAAAATACCTGCGCTCCCAAGGCATGTGTCTTATATCAGCCTGAATTCATGAGTGAGAAGGTTTGTTAATTAGAAACAACTGAGTGTGTAGAATCGCTGCCATATTTAGGTTTGTGATTAATTCAAGCCTCCCTCCCTCTCGCTCATTATTCTCCTGGACAGCTGATGCACACAACACCACCAAGCAATTCTTATGAACCCACACCTCTATGACAAAATGTAATGTTTATGTCAATGCAAGGTGCAAGCCACATATATAATTTCAAAGCTTTAGGATGTTTAAATGTCAGGATCACATACTGGCTGCAGAGAAGAAATTGTAAACCTGGCTACGTGACAACACAGCTTGGGACTAAAAACAAGAACGTCCAGAAACAGTAAGAGTTAGAGAAGAAGATGAAGAAGAAGAAGAAAAGGTGAACAGTAACTTACTGGAGGTACAGTTAATCCTGATACAATCTAGATGGGGAAGAATAGATGAGAGATAAATTCATCTTTCAACGTTACAGCTGCAGACATCATTAAAGCATACAGTCCACCCCTCTGGGGACACACACACGGACACTGTCCGTCCTCTGATGCTCTCACCCGTGGCCCCGAGCTGCAGCGAGCTGGTAAAAGCACTACAGTGGAGCTGGGCCAGAGGAGCACAGCATGGAGTATAAAAGAATACAAGTTCCAGCCATGTAGAATAGAGAATCATGAGGGCTGAGTTTTCGCTTTATGACATTGTTTCGTTTTGTTTTTGCCAGGTAGCCAAACAAAATGTTTTTTGCAAGCTGGGGGATTTTTCTGTTCATTTTTAGAATATGATCTTCTATTCAGTGTGAGAGCATCAGATTTTAGTCAGGGTCAGACAGGGCCAGGTGGGAGGTGGGTATTTTTCGATTCTCTCCACCCCCGTTTCTCTCTCTCTCTCTCTCTCTCTCTCTCCGACTATCTCTTCATCTGTCCGACTTCTACATCTTTCCACGCTACTTTCCCACCTTTGTGCATTGTCTCATGCACTACATCATATTATGACTTTAATAAGGTTAATGATATGCAAAAAAATCCAATTGAACCACTGTTGCTGATGCTTTAAGCAACAGTTGTTTGTGTATTCGTATATAACGGTATGATCAACTTATAAACTATGATGTGTTATTATAGGATTTACCACCCACTACCTATAAGGGAGGTAAAATTTGCTATTTGCATAACTTCACCAGCATTAAAATGCTGCTTACATGTTAAAGCATAAGTTAAAGTTTTAATAATCCAATCATATAAGGTCTATAATAATATAATATTCTGCATGAAGGGTATTTTAACTTTTAATACTTTTTTTCTGATTTATACTCTGACTTAAAAAAAAACATTTGAAGGCAAAACTACTAAATATTTTCCTAAAAAGTATCTCAATATTTCTCCCACCATAATAGAGTTATCTTTTTTTTTTTCATGGTAACAGTTACTGATGGCCTACTCCTCATTAAGCTTGTATCGCTCAGCAGTGCCTTATAGACTGCCACCATTACTTTATCTTTTCTTTACCTCTCTGGTTCCCGAGGCTCAGCTCGCGTCGTGCTCTGAGAAAGGTGACCCAGATCAAACTCCCTCCCCTCCTTCCCCGTTTGGCCCCGTCTGTCGTGTGTTGTCAACCACAGCAGAAAAGTGGTCGCAAACAGCCAGAGACCAACACTAGCCCTACCCTTACAGGGAATGCTCTGCTTTTTGAATGAGGGGTGAGGAAGACAGGCTTCAAGGGCTGATGGCTGGGGACGAACTCACAAAAAAAAAAAAAAAAAAAAAAAAACCTTTAAAATGTGATATAATAATAATATAATTCAAACATGAAACAGAACACAGTGACCTGTTGCTTTCATCAGAAGGCATCTTTCGTTTGTAGTTCCCATGATCTGACTCGCGAGCCCTGTCAGTGTGTGGCGCTGTTGTCTTCCACGGTGGTGCAGGGGGGGGGGGGGGACACATGCTTCCTTGTGGTTGACAGCAGACACAGACTGTCTACTTTGCATGCACGGCTAAACGGCTCCGCTTAGGGAGCCCATTTCTGTTTAGCCAGTGGAAAGGAGAAATAGATGGCTATCATTTGTGCGGCATTGCTCTGTTTGAGAGATATCAAACTTTTCACAGGCATCATTGGATTCTTTCCCGAGCAAATAAGCACACACATACACACACTCACACAGACTCTTTCATTTTGCCCTCAATTTTTTTTTTTTTTTTTTGCTGTAGGCAGGGGGGGAGGGGTGGAGCATGTCTTTCCCTGTGCTCATTTAAGATACATTTGCTGATTTATGTGCGATCATGCATTCTTCCTACAATGATTAAAGTGCATAGGAACAAATGATTAAATGATTAAAAAAAAAACACGTGTGTGCAACTAGGGGATATTAGAGAAGAGGTGTGATATTACAAACACCCTCCTTCATCTTCAATTGTTAGCTTCTTATTATGAATGATAACTGGGTGTATCTGTAAATGCACCAGGAAAGAATACAGCAGTGTGTGCGCTGTGAGGGCAATTCCCTTTAGAGCAATGCACACGTATGGATGTCGATCTGGGGTCAGCTGATGGAGTGGGCAGCGAGCATTCCCTGCTGGGCAATGGCAGCTGTGTGCTCAACTGGCAGTGAGCGGAGAGCCGCAGACTCTTGCCATTGAAAGTCTTTACACCATCTCCTTCTATTCAAAATATGTATAATATAAGAATAACTGGGGTGTGTGGATGTGTGTGTGTGTGTGTGTGAGAGAGAGTGTGCGTATTTGAAAGCGTTATCGAGCTTAATTTAGTGTTATCTGACACATGACTGTGCGGCTGCAGCCGGTGCATGTCCGAGACGTTACCTAAATTGACAGTCAGGCGCACGCGGCCGCTCTCCAGCTCGAGACGCAGGCTGTCAGCCGAGTCCCGAGACGTGGTGGCTATTAGGATGCCATAGGCTCGCTGGGAGCGGAAGCGCAGGGACACATCCTCAGCTTCTGTGTGCATCACCACGGGCAGCTGGACCTTCATGAACTTACTGCCGTCATAGCTGAGGATGGTCGCCTCTGCAGAGAGAAGGAGGAAGAGAAACTGGATGAGTGACGGGTAAAATGGAGTGTGGCAGTTTTTAAAGTAGATGATGTCTTATTTGTGGATATAATTCAGCGCTGTAACTTTCAGTCTGGAGTCTGGAAGAAATACATTAGAGGGGAAGACATTCAATAGAGAGCATGTATTCAAATACAGAGTGAGACGGCCCATTATGCACCGAGATACTCCTACTGCAACACAAGCTTTGCAGTGAACCAGCGCTGACTTGTCATCCATTCACACAGGAATGATTAAACCATGATGCTGACAAACACAGGGATGACTTCAGTCTTCCAGGAGTGTCTCCAGATGTGTTTGTCAGACATGTGCTTTGCAGAATTGCTAAGGAGGAGCACTCCACTGATGAATCCAGCTACTATTAGGCTGCTAGAAATACAAATACAACACAAAGAGAGTCAGTTCAAAGAGAAAGTGACTGCAAAATGGCATGTGCGCAGATATGTCATCCAAGAGCAGCGCGCAAACACTTGTCACTAGTGTTGCATTGCATAAGACTGTGTACTACAGCTGACAGCTACCCAAACTCCCTCCAAAGTCTGAGTCCTGTCTTCTCTGTGCCAGTGGAAGCGCTGCCCTCCATCAGTGAAAAGAGCATGGAAGTACATACATGCTATGACAGTAGACACACAGAAGACAGTGAACACATCATGACAAGCAGAAAGATCTTACTGGAGAGGAAATAAAGGAAACAACGCCAATACAAACTAACAGAGGTAATAACAAGTAGCAGCATTATATCCACAATTTTTGTATCTGCTATATAATAGTGGGAAACTACAAAAGGACAAATTGGTATTGACTGAGGGGGAAAAATACAAACGGTGACAGAATCGTAATAGTCTGTGGACCTTGAATATTGAGCTTCTGCTCAGGGTGACTGCATTTACTCAAAGCATTAGGCAGGAGAAATGCTGGGGCGATTGTTTAACACCGGCAGGAGGTTGTAACAGCATTTCCGGTAGTGTAACTAAACCAAAACCCAATAACAAAGCCATTACTGCAGCCGCAGTGCTGAAACAGATAGAAGGCGAGTTGGAGGGACGGGAGATGGAGAGAGGTGGGGGTGATAGGGTACCAATGTACACACACCACCTCATCACCACTTCCTCATCACACAGAGCCAATGTCACATCCATCCCCTGGGATGACTCCGTCACATTCCTCACCCAAATCCAATTTCTCCACGACCTCCTGGGGTATGCTGCAGATGACAGGGGCGTGTGACAAACGAGTTCTCACTGCTAAACTGTCTGCTTCCTGCCAGGCAGCTAAAGCAAAGAGCTGCATTTGGAAACTGTTAGCAGATGCCAGGAAAAATGGAGCAACTGTTCAAACTCCTAACACTTGAAAAAATGTTTGTCGCTGCAATATTAGCTAGCACTTAGACCCAACGAGAGCATTTCCTCGCCGTGTTTGACTTATCCTCTGCATGTGTCTACGCTTCATGCTGTATACAAATACACAGCCACTGTCTGGTGCTCAGGTGTATGTTTACTCTGGGAGGATGGGACGTGAAAACCATTACTGCTAAACAATGAGTGACAGATCTAAGTGCTGCACTGTATAGAATTTCTGCTCCAGCATAAACCTTGCTCCTTTTAAAATGCCTCCGTTTGAAACTGGATCCATTATACCCTGAAAAAAATGCTCAAGGTAAAAAGGAAAGAAAACAAAAAGAAGAAAAATCTAACACTGCACTGATGGTGACAATAATTCTTTGAATGGGTCTAGCACTGTGTAAGCACCGCTTCCTTAATTACTAAGTGTATATAAAAACAGTATGGAGTCTGGTCAATTGACTAAAAACAAATACCTGCTGAGAATCAAGGTGAGTAGAAAGGCGTCTGATGTGACCTCATAATATAAATAAAGAACGCTTTACTCATATGAATAATCTTCTTAGACTGAATAGATAAAATTAATTACAACTGGAGTAAACACTGAATTTCATTCAAGCTGTCACCACTGCTGAAACTCATACGAGAGCTCGTCTAGAATGGCATCAAAAAGAAACGTCCAGACAGATATGAAAATATGGAGACTGACGTGTGAAGGAAACATTACCTAATGCAAAGTGAGCACCTGTCAAAAATCCAATCCTGGAAGCCCAGTCATTTTTTTTTTTTTTTTAATGGCACTCCCATGTTTAATATCAAAATAAATTGAGAGGACTGAAGCTGGGAGTTTCTGCCTGTGCCAACCCAACGGGAGGCTGTCAGAGGGGAGATGGAGCATACCAAACTAAACCAAGCATTCATTTTCTGTCTCGTAAAGCACAATACAACATTGTTTTCTGATTTTCACAAGAGAACAAGGAGCAATTTGGGGGGAGGGGGGAGAGGGGAAGGAATGGAACAAGAGGGGGGGATTTGGAGGGTATTTCAAAGAGGTAACAAATAAGGCTTGTGGAGGCTACTAACAAGGGGGAGTAATGGCAGACAGGCTTCCTCCATTCTCCCCGAAGGAGAACAGGCTCTGCAGGAAGGGAGAGCTGTCAGCTGCATGTCACAGGATTGTGATGTCCCACAGTGTCAGGGCACCAGGCCCAATCCAATTCAAAAGTTGCTGGAATACAACCACTGCCGAAGGCTTTTTTTGGAAAATGTATGTTGAACATCCACAATAAACAGGAAGAAATGGCTTAGAGATATCATAAATAATTCAAGGCTGCTCATGTCTCTTTCACCGCAGCCTCTTCTTTGAGTATCTTAGTATACACGATCCGAGAAACAGACTCTCTGGCTATTAAAAGTGTGAAAAAAAGAGAAAAAAGTCTGCCATATCGAGTCGGAATTTTACGAGAAGACGGGGGGGGGGGGGGGGAAGGGGAGAGGAGGGGGGAGGATGGATATTAGCAGGAGATAAGATATCACGGGCCGACTTCACATCTTGCTGCTCCGTGGCCATAAGGCAACTTCATTAGGGCTAGGAAAATGAGAGCAGAGACAGAAAATGGATCAGTGTGTCCGTTCGGAGTGGTGGAATCTGCAGCTTCAGCTTGTGCTGCTGTCAGGAATACACGCGACAGCCAAGACGGTAAAGATTTAGTATGTGCGAATTAGGTTTCTCAGCCCACTGAGACTATTAAAAGGAGAATTACCATTTAGTTTAATGATTTACAAGTTAATCTCCAGTCTTTGGTCATTGCTGTGCTATCAAGGTCTTTCAACAAGACCCATTATCAGAAACTATAGAAACTGGAAATCAAAAGCCCTGATGTACAGATAAAACCTTGGAGGAAGAATGTGAGACTAATTGAATGTTTTACGTTTTAGGCTTTAGGTTTGTGTACTGAAACAAATATGATTGTTTATTTCACTCTTGGCCAAACCTCTGTTCCACAACACGTGCCTATATCCCCAGATAATCAACCCTGAGCACTCTCACAGTCACATTTTGCATGTTTTTCGACCAATTTTCTGCACATCTGTGTGCATCGCTTCAGGGCATGAGACAACCAGTTCTCTCTAATTTGTGACTATATTCAAGTGTGGTGAATGGTGACTAACACAGAGTGCGCTGTCAAAGGGCATGGCTAAAACGTGTTTTAATGCTAAAACTCAGCCATATTCCCCTTTAAGGGCATTTCACAATTACGCAATAACATTCTGCACCTCTTGGCTTTTGCTTCGGACCGATGGCAAATGGTTTTATGCTCTGAAAAGCAATAAATGTGCTCAAAGAACCAGTTTTTCTACAGTTATACTGATTTACATAATGTTTTGATGTATTCCATTGTAACGGTCTATGTTTTGGAACAAGATATCCTGCACCTAATGTGGATGGTGGGAATAATATATTGCAGTATTATGGATTCATGCCTTCAAAAAAAAAAAAAAAAATGTGTGCTCACATGTGCACACATCAGAAAGTTGTGTGTGTGTGTGTGTGTGTGTGTGTGTGTGTGTGTGTGTGTGTGTGTGAGTCAGGCACATGTAAGCAAACTTGTGTGTTGATCTATATATTGATGTTCCGCCCTTTATCTTTATTCATCGCAGGTATGTGTAACCGCCATCCATGTGAATTCATGCAGGTGCCGTCAGTGTTGGAATCCAGCACGTCATATCTCATTTGGGAATATGTGCATGTGCTGCAACGCACCTACTGCACCATCTGGGAGACGCCGCCTTAGCCTCACACTTGCAAGACTAATATTTGGGCTAATTAGCAACTGGAGGAACAATGAAGGGGAAGACATTTGGGATGCAAGGGGGAAAATTGCTTTGTCTGCTTAATTAAAATCTCTCAAAATAGGGCGAATAGCTCCATGGTTCTCTTCCGAAACTCCACCTCCTGTTCCTTCCACTCGTTGTCCTCCTCCTCCTCCGCCATATGCAGTAGCTATATTTTGCCACCGGGTGGTACACCATGCATGGATAAGTGAGAGCTGGGGTAATTCTTTTGACAGCTCCTCGGCCTGCTGGTGCCTGCTTCATCCTACCAGCGCAGAGGCAATCTGGAGCCATCAAAACAGCTGGCAGCACGCCGGGCCCCATCCTCCATACCACTGCTCCCACTCACACTCCCGTCGATGCCAGTCTCATACACAAAGCAGAGACAGCCAGATAAAATTTAAAAAAAAAAAAAAAAAAGAGAGAGAGTTTGGATTTGGACAGAGCAGCCGAGATGGCAGGAGACACTCGGGTGTGAGGAGGAAGACGAGAGGAGGGTCATGGTGGTGGAGACCCTCTGCAACACGCAGTTGATTCAAACGCAGAGATGCAGATTTTTTTTCTGCTGTTGTTTTCAGAATAAGTCAGAGTGGATTATGTCGTTTTAAATTTCCAGAGCACTCTCTGGATAAGTAAATCTCTTCCTGTAGTGAAACGATCTGTGCCCACTAAACCTCCCTCATGTACTATGCCCTAATTCCTGTCAACTCATTAGCTAGAATGGAGATGCACATGCGGAAAATCAGAGCAGCCTAACTGACACGTTCATCAGAGATGGAGGAGATTTAGATTCTCTCTTTCGTGTACTCTTTTAGCTCGAATATTAATTTCCTGTCTTCGCATTAACTACATTTCTGCAGTTACACGACAGGTCACATGTGATCAGACATTCAGGACTGAATCAGCCGCGCTCAGAGCAGTAAACAGGAAACGCATCATCTTCCGGGTATCACGTGCATCCGTGTTATTTTGCTTCCGTTCGACTCGGCAGATCTCGATCAAGCATCAAGCCGTGTCTTTAGCGTGTCATCAGCCAGACGTAGTCCGCATCCCATAAACCAGGGTATTTCAGCTAACTGCATTTTATAGGGTGAATGACTTAAGCGCAGAGTCGCACAAGCACATGTAGAGCTGACACATGTAACTGCGTGGGAGGTGTTACATTCCAACTAGAGTTCCTTTTTCTGGCCCCCCCTTGCCCCCCCCACCCGACGAAAACCTGTTCCGGCTGTCGTTCCTGTGCAGATGCATCACACTGTGATAACGGTGTCACATGCTTGGGCTCTTTTTTGACATTTGCCTTGAGTATGCATATGTTAATTGTTTTCGCTCATTTGCTTCTCTCGCTCCGTCGAGATTTCATGATGTAAATTCTGCACATACTGCTGCGGCATGAAACCTTTCCCCCTTCAGAAGCACAAGACAAATACATAATAATATATGTATTGTAAACATTGGCCGAGGGTAATTTTTGTGTTGATATCATATTCATTATAAATTCACAGTATACAGCAGTTTTACATACAGTGAATATGCACTTGATACACTTAATTCATGTATAAAAAAAAATATCATTAGGCCACTCATCTGTGATTATTCAAAAAGACATTTGAACTGTATTTTCAGACCTTCAAATGATTTTCATTACTCCCAAATCCTGGGCTGTTAATATGAGTTCATGTCGCTAATCTCTTTGGCGAAAGACCTATACATTTTATAACATATTTATCCAATCAGTCCGAAAATAAGCCAATGTAAAAATAATTGCCTCGGTGCAGACCGTACGAGCAAGTGAAGGATTTGGCGTCCTCGCACAGCTGTTTGCTGTTTTAATCGGGCTAGTGTTCAATCAAAGGGGTCAAAGGGCAATCCTTCATCACCAGGACCAACAAGCCAATGCTGAACAGGCGAGAAAAGCGAGTCCACGCTGAGCTTTGCATTTGTAAGCAAAGAAATGTCCTTATGGCTGCTTTTTTTTTTTTTCTCTCAGCCACATCATTACACATACAGTAACAAAAAAATATAAATACAATAAAAAGGATCTGCAGTGGAGTGTTAAGGCCAGGTTAGCAAGACGGTCTAACTTCACACAACTGCAGCTCTTACAATACGTAAATACATACACAGATATTGGTTTATTTATCAAGTCATAAGTTAGAACAAACACTGCAGATGGAATTTTGAGAAGACGATTTTCTTTTTATTTTACTATGAATGCCTAGAAAAAGCTGTGATACTCAGACTCAGGTGTGCTTCAGCTAAGACATGGAGCTCTCAGAGTTCAACTGTGTGACACTCACTCCTCCTATTTCTCTTCTGTGGAGGAGAGAGGGATAAGTATTCCGCACCAGGTCTGGTCATGAGCGAGTGGTTTGATGAGCCAAATGGTTAGCAGAAGACAGCCAATTTACAGGCTCGTGTGTATGGCGGACGTGACCAGGAGCTTCTCAGCGGTGCATCAGTCACCTGCCACTCAGCATGGTCTAAACATCAGCCAGTCAACACTTTGCTCACCCTGACTCATTCTGTCTGTCTGTCTGTCTGTCTGTCTGTCTGTCTGTCTGTCTGTCTGTCTGTCTGTCTGTCTGCCTGCCTGCCTCTCCACATGCAACACTTTTCTTTCCTGTCTTACATTACTTTCAGTTTGCTGCTGATGTTCAACCATCAGCCCAGATCAAAAAAAAAAAAAAAAAACCTGCAGGTTGTTGTCTGGTGATGCTGAACTTGAAAGGAGGTCCATTTCAGACAACGAATACTAAATCTATAGCGGATATAATTAAAACCCATTCTGCTTCTGCTTGTCTTTGATGTCAGTTATATTCACACTTCTGTGGTCGCATGCCTTTCTCAGAGGACAATGCACGGTGCGGAAGAAGTGTGTCACTGTGCAGCATCAGCGTCAACATTTCTCACACACACACACACGCAC